AAAAAGCAAAACTCTGTACGATTAATTTTGCCATTGCAGAAACTGATCGCGCAAAGTTTTGCTTTTTTTTGCAAACAAAAATTACATAATTAAAATGCGCTTTACTGTGTAGATTGTAGAGTTTTTCATGCTGTATCTTGCGGTATATTTTGTTTACTTATCATGTGGTGGAAAAATGAAACGCAAAAGTGGCCCATTTATTATGCGCCAACCATTATTTTTAGGACATGAAAAAATATGCTTTCTAGAATGTTAGCCTATATATCTCCCTTATAATAAAGGATAGAGACATGAAACTTTGGGGTAATATTTGCCTACTTACAAGGGATAAGATGTCAGAGTTTGAGCATTTTTGAGTTTACTATAAGGGAGAACGAACAATTTTTCTGAGAGGGTCCAAGACTTTTGGATCACCCTTTAGTTTAGATGTTCTCTACGCATTGATAAAATATGCTTGAAATCATGGATGGGACCTACATTAGACTTTTCTAGAAAATGTTGCGAATCTTCGATATTTGAGGCAAACTTTTTCCCAGAAAGCGGTTCGACATTCATGAATTTATCTCTGATATGAAGTAAACATTTTCTTTTAGTTTAATGATGAAAATAAATAGTTCGTTTTGTCTTTTTGTTTTTAGGTGAACCTACTAAACCTTGTCTAATGGGTGTTATTGTAAATACAGAACAAGAATTGGTTGATATAAAAAATAATAAACTTGTTGTAAAAGTTGGAACAATGCCATCTATCAAACTTCATATTCATATTAATTTTTTTCCTGTTCTCTTTATGATAACTGATATTCTAATATCTCAAGTTGTAAATTCAACATCTGTAGCAGTACTAATAACAAATCCATTATCAATAATTGCATATGAAGCAAGAAAAAGTGCTATATTTAGTATTAATAATGAATGTACTACATTACTATTTAAAGTAGCAGAAGAAAGTAAGAATATATAAAACTTCTCTGCACAATAGAACATTCGCTTGGACGAATGATCCGGCGGATGTCATAGATTGTAGGAATAAGTTTTCAAATATATAAATATATACTAATTTGTTGTGTTTCAGAAAATCGATTTACTTCTATTCTACATAGATTTTTATGTTTATTTTTAGGAACTATGAACTTAACTGTAACCATGTCAGCACATGTTTTCACATCAGTTTCCTTGTTTTCTCTTGGTGCTACATACAAAATCTATAAAAATGATTATTTACTTTTTGAAAAAACAGAACTTATTGATAAGTTAGAATTTCCTATCATAACATCGGAAACATTGGTACCAATAACAACAGCTACTAATTATACTATTACTGCAACTATCTTTGGACCAATACCTGGTTTTTCTTCTGGTGGAACTTTATTTGAAGGTGTAACATACTCACGATTAGTTCCAGGCACTAATAATAATGTTAAAATATCAATGATTTATACAGGTAATTGTTATTTTATATTGTAGAACGAACTTTGTTTTTCAAGAAAGTCTTGTTGTTTTATTTCTTCTGAAAAATGTATCAAAATAATTTATTTTTCTAATTATTACCAGAAAATACCTTGCAAAATAGCAAGATATACTCGAATTTGTACAGTTACTTATATAGAGCCACACCCTCAATTAATGTACTCATTTTAATTTTCAAAATCAACAACAAAATTTCATTTAATCGAATATAAAAAATTGATAATAAAGAACATGAATTGAAATATGTCGAATTTTAGGATCTAAAATAGGAACAACAATTCTTGGTAAAGTTCAACAAACACCACTTAATCAAAGTACATGGCCATTGGCAGGTAAAAATCTAGTTTTTGCTATAGCTGATCAAACATCTGGTCTTGATGAATCTGATCAATTTATAATCTTTGATCAGACATTTCCAATACATTTCACATTACTTGCTATTAAATCAATTAATCAAAGTCATCAAAATGTTTTATTCACTGTTACAATAACAAATCATGATGGTACTGTTTTATGGGCAGCAGCTACAGAAAATAATCAAATAATTTATGGACAATTAAATAGGCTCAATATTAATGTAACAATTACTGGTAGAATTAAATTAAATTTTTTTTATTGAAAAAATATCCTATTGTACTTTTCTTTTAAATTCTAGCTGGTTATACATGTCGATCACCAGGACAAGGCTGGTGTTCTTCTTTGTCTTCTAATAATCTAAATACCATATGTTGTTCTCAGTATAAATGTTCTGGAGAATGTAAATTACCATGGTAAATAAGTGTTTTTCTTTTTTTTTGTTATGAATAATTTAATTTTATATTGATTTTTAGACATCAAGTGCCTTGGGTTAATTACGACGAGCAAGCTTCCACAGATTAAATAGTAATAAGAAGAAAAATAATAATATAAATTTCTCATTTATCTGTCATTATGATTTATGATAAAATAAGAATAAAATTATTGAAATGAAATAAAACCAATTTGATATAAACATACTTTATTTTTGACATAAAGAAATTTGTTTGTTTATTTCTATTTGTATAGAAATATTAAAAAAGTTGTTCTGTTTTCCTTCAGATCCAATAGATATTTTAATAAAATAGATCAATTCATAGATGGTAAATCGTTTTTGATTCTAGAGTAGACTCAACCTTTTTTAAACAGATCCGCATTGTAAAGTTAAACATTAGAGAAGATGAACTTTTTCTATGTGATTTAAATGAAATACAGTCAGAGATTCTTTATTCGAACTCACATTTTGCAGTGTATAACAATGGTACAGATCAGGATCAAAATGTGCATTCGAAGAAACGTGTCTGATCTATTTTACCTGAAGGGAAAAGTTTGACTGCGAAGCACGAATGTTTCCAATAGAAAAAATGTTATATTATGAGTTTGCTCAAGGTTGAAAATGTTTAATAAGCGCTTAAACCTATGAGAACACGCTTCCAAGTGTCAGATTGATCCTGAGTTAGGACTGCGTATCATGTAGATTCTAATGAACTATGAATACCTTGAAAAAATTTCGGGCTATAAGAATTTTGCTGTTGAGATATTGCATTTTTACAATACATTGTTAGCTCAAATGTTGTAGCTTCCTTCAAGAATATCAGAAAAACTGATTTTTGAACTTCTAATTGAAGCTTTGCACAGAAATAGACCTTGATGAGAATAGTTTACGTATTGTGAAAGTTTCGGATTATTTTGTTTTATTAATCTTAAGATACAGCTACAGTAAAAGTATATCCTTTTAGGTCGCTCATATATACTGGCGATAGGAATTCCATTTGCCACTTTAGATAGTAGGGTGTGCATGCGCAGTTGTGTATGGGAAGTGGATAAGGTAAATGCGCACACCCTGAAATAAGCTTTTATTTCTTATTCGATATCATGTATAATATACTTACTAATGTATAGCTGGCACACACTACGATATACTCTTTTGTTGTTTTCTGTTGTTGAAAGAGTACTTAATATTTTCATCAAAAGTTAATTCCACTAAACACAGTTTTTCTTGAAGATGAAGTTCATCGATTTTAGTACTGACATATGAACTCATGATTGAAGCGTGATGTAAATCGAATATGTTCAGTACTCTATGAAATGCCTTATTACATATTATCAGTTCATTACCAAATCAATTGGTTCTAACAATTGAGATAAGTAACGATGAAGGTAAAGATATGAATAAATGAAATAAATCTAAATGAGTATATGAATCTATATGGTACACCGTTCCTATATTTCACTTCAAATTTCAACAAATGATGCAGTATGTAACGCTCATGTTTGTTTCATATCCAAACAACTTGATAAGCAATTGAATTGATGGTCACCTGCCTTACTAATTATTCAGCTGAATAATGAACTAATTAATTAGTTAAAATAAAGTCTTTTATATACGCTGTTAATATTCGATGCATAATTCGTTTTCAGTCATTAATTCATTCAGTGATATTGGAGTCGGTCAATTATATCTTCGGAATATTTTCTTCGACGAAAATTGACTGATTCATCGAATGGTAAATTAGTTTTTTGCGCAAAATTAGTTGAATTTATTGTCTTTATTTTGAAAGTACATATGTTTAACGACTTGCAGTAATTTATATTCAGATTTGAATTATCACATCCACTGAGAATTTTAGATAGTTAAAATTAATAGAAAATCGATGAAATATCGATTCGAAAAAAATATTTTCAAAGTATTTTCTATTTAAGAATATAAAATTAATATACCACAAAGCCAAGTTTTCTCTTGAAAAATGTCTTTTCTGTAATCTAATAGAACATATTAAGTCATTAAAAGTATTATAAGATAGATATAGTTTTAGTTAATAATGCAACCAAGAACAAAAAAAAAATTTCTACGCATATATTATGCTCGAGATAAACCATGAAGAAGAAAAAGAAAAAGAAATAAAATTTAATAAAGAAGCAAATTAAGTATGAACATATTTAATTGATTTCAAGTTTCATTCTACAAATGATGAGTGCTTTCTCAATAAACAGATGTCGTCAACGAATTACCCAAAGTACATTGTATCTTTTTCAACGCTCTTTATTCTTTTTGCATAAAAAAATCAAAATTACTATCAGATCATCGATGTCGTCGGTCAATTTGTTGATGGGGCATTGGTAAATACTGATAATTTACTGTAGCACCGTGAATTTGAGGTTGGACAGCATCATGAGGACATTGACATTGGCAACTACAAGTGTCTGGAATTGTTTTAGTCACATTATTAGCAACAGTAGTAGTAGTAGTTGTTGTTGTTGTTGTTGCTGTTGTTATTGTTGTTGTTGCTGTTATAACGGTAGTTGTATTAGTAGTCGACGTTGTTGTCATCGTGACTAGCTGTTGATATTGTTGTTGTAGACCTTGCAGCTGTGGTAAATATGTTTAGTTCGATACACATATATTCAATATATTAACAAAAGTCGAATTATATAGATAAATAAATAATCAAAGAAAAATGATCGAGAATCCTTACAGGCTGATCATCGGTTGACTCGTTCGTAAAATGAACTATAACTTATAGTATTTCGCCTGTGGAAAATCATTTTGATCAATAGTATATATACTGCTTAATGTCTATTATATTCTCAAATTTGTTTGAGATGCTATATAGAAGTTCTATTCAATATAAAACAATAGTTATAATCTAATGGCTATCTTATAAAATTCTAAAAATCAAAAAAATTTTCAGTTGCGACTATTGTTTTTTTTTTGAATCAAAATATTTTATATTCAATATCAAATAGGAACAAATTAATTAGTTTTCACAAAATATGATGACACAATATTTTAAAAAAGAGGGTTCATTAAGAAATACTCACATTTGATATGAGTGGTTTTGGTTCACTTGAAGATATCTAAAAAAATAAGTAGATGAAGAAAATTTAAAATCAATCGAATATATGTTTGTTATAAAAAATATTCTAGCAAGGTGTATGCATCTTCTACATCATAAAAATTCATGAATAATATAATGTAAATATTAGTTTTTCAATGAATAGTAATTATATTTAATATAACTTTGTTTTTAGATAGAAAGTAGCTCTATATAAATTGTTTACGATTGATTTAAAATCTCCAAGGATTCTTTTTTTTGAGTGATGCCGTACTTTTAATATATTAAAGCACTTGCCAGTCTGTTTAGCGGGGCAATATCATGAAGAGTAGTAGAAGAAATAATGTTGAAAAACACTTACGAATGGTTGTTGAGGCTTAGGTGTTTGTTGTGCATTTGATAAAGTTGAAGATTGTTGAAATGAAGAAGTTGATTGTTGAAGCTAAAAATCAGATCCATTTAGATGATATTCAAATAATTGAACCGATTTCGCTCATCGTTTAGTACAATATAATGTGAACGCTAAAAGTTTAGAAACGAAGTGTTTTGGACTTTTTTCTTTAATGATAACAACTAGAATGAGTCAGAAAAAAAAGATTTGAGTACCTGAAGCAATTTCCTATTAGAAGAAATATTTGTCCGATTCCAGTTAACAGATTTAGGTGAAAGGTCACTAGAAAACCACGACCGTCCCAAAACCAGTTTCTTAGATTCTATCAAAAATCTTTCTTACACAAGTTTTTATTGTGCAATAGGACTAAAAGTCTGCTTTCTGTTGTATTTTTAGAAATTTATATGAATTAACTGTGTTTTACATTTTGAAATCTTTTGTAAAATGAGTACAGTTTGCTGAAGATAGATCATGAAGGACTCAGAAAGATTTTATCCGATTCAAAAATGTTTTCGCAATCAGATGAAGTTTTTTGCAAAACGTACTTGAAAGAATCCAAAAAACTGGTTTTGGTTTTATAGAGATTTTTCACCAAAAATCGTTAATCGGAATTTGAAAAGTATTTCTTCTTATAGAAAATTGTTTCAGATACTCTCTGATTTATTCTAGCTTTTACCGTTAAGAAGAGACGTTAAAAATATTGCGTTTCTAATATTTTGATCTCCACTTTATGTACATCATATGACATCCTTGACTCGAGAAATTTCACCAAGACTATTGAGAAATAGTTGAAACTTCTACAACAAGTGTTAATCGAGAAATATTATAGCAGATTTTTCAAGGCATTTTTCTCACAAACAGATCATTTCTAATATTCATACAAAGTAAATGAAACTTGTTGTATTTACCTGTACCTGAGATATTGGTTCATAACAGATTATCATATGTACTTCTAATGATGGTGGTGGTAATGGGGCTGGAGCTCCATCAATGTTTACTTGTATCATTTGAGCAGGTACATGTTCAGGAAATGCACCAATATCGGATGCATTTGGTGCTGCAACGAACTGAAGTGCACTGCCATTTGACATTGATGCAGAAGTTTGATTTGCATTAACATAGTTGACACTTAGTTGAGTAAGTGAAGTCTTCAGTATACTAATAAAATTGGGTACTGAAATGTAACCTGCTTTTGATGGTACTTGTAAAAGTAAAGTTATGCGTGCACCATCCGTAATATTTGATACGATTCGACGTGATCCTGGACGTACGAGATAGAGTGAACATGGTATCTCGTCATCAATGTTTTGTGTTGTAAGTGGTGGCATAAATGGACCTAAAACCAAATAATATCATTAATTTTTATATTTTGCTTCTATAATCTAATTTGAGAATAGCCTGTACCGTACTGGTTGTTAGGATACTGTCCTGCTGGATTATAATTATTTGTACCAAAATCAGGTTTCTGATCATATATATTTTGATTATTTGAATCTTGAATATATAGACCAGGAATAGGTAAGGGCCCACGTCCATTCGGACCAGTATAAAATCCTAAAGAAAATGAAAAATCACTACGTCATTCTTCTTTATGCACATCACTGCTATTATTTATCTTTAATATTGATATGTATTTGATTTATTTTCTGAAAATTTTTGATGATGCGAATTCTTGCAGAATTATTTAGTCTCTTTATTATTACTGATATAATGTTAAACATAACTGTTCATTAAAAACTATGTTCGAGGCTTTAGTATTTCAATCAACTCATATACTATACTCTTAAATTTGGTTTCTTCTCATACGGTAGAAAATTATATTTACTATATTTCAAGTCTGTTGCAGAATAAAAGAATCACTTTGATTGATTAGTTCTGAGACGGTTCTGAGAAACTTAGAGAGTTTATTCTAAGTTTATCTAATAGAAAATTGAAAGCTCTACAAAACTGTGAATTTCATTATTCGATTATTCATTTGTTGTCCTTACAAAATTTGAAATATAAATAATATCTAATCTGCAAACTACAACTGATAAAAATTCACAAGATGAAATTACATTGTTTAGCAAACAATTTTCTTGAAATTTCAAACTCATTAGTAGATACTTCGTAAAATTCTGCATCTCTTCCGTAAAAAATTCAAAATTTTGGAAGACAAATCAATGCAAAAAGGTTTTTCAGTTGAAGAATATCGAAATACAGAAAAGATCATTTTCTGACACATCACTTGCATCTACGTCTTTTGCATGTGTAAATATCTAACGTTTCTATTCTTCAACTTAAAAGTCACAATATTTAACGACGCGAGTATGAAACTTTTCAGAACTGTATTTCGGTTTCAGAAAATTCAATTTTCTGGAAACATCACGAAAGCATTAGCACTAAATTAGCGTGAAATCGATTTTTTTCTATACGATAGAAAAAGAAAAATTGAAAACAGCGCAGAAACAATGAGCACAAAATTATGTATCGATCTATGTTAGATACTTCACATTGACTAGTAAACTTCATCTATACAAAGCTTTATCACATAGATAGATATCCTAAAAAACACATTAAATCGTAGTGTCAGTTGAATATGTCTTAATTTTATACATTTCATACGAGCCGTCTAAATTTCTAAAAAGCGTCTTAAACATAAAAAACTAATGTGGATTGTACATTCGACGTCACCCATTATATTTTTTCATCTGCTTTTTGTTCTGTGAAACTACAAAAAGTTGAACATCTATACATCTTACCCATGAAACGTCCTGGTTTTGCCGCTTCATCAGGTTGATTCGTCTGTCCCTGTCCAGGTTGCCCCTGTTGACTAACTTGGCTCGGATATGATGGCTGCCAACGTTGTCCTTGCTGATTAACTGGTGCGAATTGTGGCAGCTGCCAAGATTGAATTTGCTGATTAATTTGATTAGATTGTGGTAGTGACGAAGGCCCGCCTTGTTGACTAATTGGTGGGGATCGTGGTAGCTGCCAAGGTTGACCTTTTTGATTATCTGGCATGGATGGTGGCGACTGTAAAGGCTGACGTTGCTGATTAACTGGTTCTGACTGTTCTGGCGACAAAGATTGGCGCTGTTGATTAGTTTGTTCTGATGGTGATGACGCCGAGTGTGGGCCTTGTGAATAAGCTGGCCCTGATTGCGACAGCGGCCAAGATTGACCTGGCAGATTAGCTTGCCACAGTTGTGGTGTTGGCAAAGGTTGGTTTTGCAGATTAACTCGCTCGGGTTGTGGCTGTAACGAAGGTTGGCTTTGTTGATTAACTTGTTGGGATGATGATGATGGTAAAGGTTGGCTTTGTGCATTAACTGGTCCGGATTGCTGAAGCTGCCAAGATGGAACTTGCGGATTAGCTTGACCCGGCAGTGTTGCTGGTGAAGGTTGACTTTGTTGGCTAAGTTGTCCGGATTGTGGTGGCTGTAAAGGTTGTCCTTGAAGATTAACTCGCTCGGGTCGTGACTGTAGTGAAGGCTGGCTTTGTTGATTAACTTGTTGGAATGGTGATGATGGTAAAGGCTGAATTTGTATATTAACTGGTCCAGGTTGCTGAAGCTGCCAAGACAGAATTTGCGGGTTAGCTTGACTCGGCTGTGCTGCTGGTGAAAGTTGGCTTTGCTGACTAAGTTGTCCGGATTGTGACGGCTGTAAAGGTTGACTTTGTTGAATAAATTTCGTAGGTTGCAATGGTTGCCAAGATAATTCCTGTTGTAACGGTTGTCCTGATTGACTGGCATAAAGTGCATAGCGATTTGCTAAAAGAATAGTTAATGCATTGTGTTCAATTGAATGAAATAAGTTTAAATAGCATTTTGTCATATTTATTTCATTTAATTCTCCTGAATTTTGTAAAAAAATAACTTTGAAATAGTGTCAGAAGCGAGCTAGTTTTTTTCTGGCACGTTGAGTAAAAATTTAGAAATCGAGACAAAATGATGAGTTTTCTTCCTTAGAAAAATTAACATATTGCAATGAGATTATGAAAATGTGCTATCTCAGCAATTTTATATCGTTTGAATAAAAAAAGCTGATAATATTTCGAAAGAGTTCGTTCGATACTACAACTCATATTGAAACATCTCCTTCTTAGGTAATGTCAAACTTGATCTTAACAGATATTGGCATGTAGTCATCTTTTTAAAAGTATCCTGATATTTCTGTTTATGGAAAGCTAATTCTATAATTGAAACTGCAACTCTACTGTTTACATGTAGCTAATAAGCATGAGAAAAACGTACTCTTGCAAAGTAAATTGTTGCTATTATTAGAAACATATTAATTTACTATTGCATTATCAGAACATAGTGAAGTACTCGACGTTAATTTGTTGATATGAGTCAAACTTTTGTCAGTAGAACATAAGAATTAAGGTATATCATGAAATTGTATTAAATCTAAATGAATTCTTTCTCAAACTATGTTCATTTTTTAATTTATTCTTTCCTTGTCTAATCAAGATTTCATGTCATACTACTCAATTAAATCTATTGTCAATGAATTTTAATTATAATACACAGTAATGGAACTATGAAGTTAACGAATGGCTATTATCTATTTTTCATCACAATCTTTTATAACGATATATATGAAAATGTAATAGATGTCCTACGTGGAACTTGTTGCGATTGACTTTGAGGTGCTATATCAGAAATTGTTATTGATGGACTGTTAGGAACCTTTTGAGCAGGAAGTGGAGCAGGAGCAATCCATGGTTGATTTTCCAATGAATTAACTATAGTTTAAAGTGAACAACAAATGAAACAAACAGATCGAGAAATTAAAAGAAAAAGCAATAGTATACTTGCTGGTGGTGCAACGTTTGTCTGTGAACAAATCACCATGTCAAGTAAATAACTAGAAGATTGAGTACCATCAGGAAATTGAAGTTGAACACTTGAAATAGGTATTGATGGAAGATTTTGAAAAGTCAAAAGACTGCCAGTATTCATTTGAAATACGTATGGACCAATTTGTTTTTGATTAGCATCAATAAATGTTAAAAGAACGGTTCCACTAACAAGTTGTCCTTGAGTGTTAACTTGAAGTGAATTAACAATTACAGGTAAGCCATAAATTTGATCAATATTAATCTGCCAAATATTGTCTTGAACAACAACATTATGCGAGCTACTATGCATCGTTAACGATTGTGGTTGATTACATGATGCAGTAGATACGGGATTCGTTTGAGTAACACCTAGATTACAAGAAATATTTTTCGTTTGAATTATTTAAACGAAAGTTTTACCATTGATTGGTCCTGAAATATATGGAATAACTCTAGCAGGTGATGGAACATTATATGTTTGAACCACATTTGGTTGTTGATATGATGAAGTTAATATTATATCTATATGAGTCAAAAATGAGCAATAATAAAGAAAAACATATGAGTAAGACATACGAGGTTGTTGATTAACAGTATCATCTTTAGAGTTCATATTATTTCGCGATAAGTCAGGATTTATAAGTGTAAATTTCGGCACTCTGTTTTGATTTCCTATGAGAGAACAATAATCGATAGTAATTGATACTTGATTTTGATTGATGACACTGCCAGAAGAAATTGGAAACATTGTGACCAAACATGTGTATATATTCATATTGTAATACATTCGAAAATCTGTAATTGGTGAATTTACTTGACTAGAAATAGAATTTAGTTGAACAAGTTGACCGTTATTTTGTAATGTTAATGGAATAACTGTAATCATTCCAATATCATTATTTGATGTTTCAACAAGTATTTTTTTTAATCGAATACTTGAAGTTGGATCCAAACGTTTTAGTTCTATATTCCATGTTAATGCTCCAGTGTATGAATCTACTTTAATTTGTCCATTAGGCATATCTGATGCACTAACAGACATTGTAGTACAAGTATCAGAATCTCTGCCACCAAATACATTACGATAGTTATTTGCATTTCCTCTTGGTGCATCAGTTTGTAGTTTTGATTTAATTATCATACGTTGTGCTTCTAAACTTAATGGTTCTTTTGAAGTTAACGATAAATCATTGACATCTAAAATATTTTATTGAAAAAAATTCACTCGACTTTATTTATTAAATTAATCTTAATATGAATCATTAGGATAATTTCTACAGTTAACGAGGGAACCCTTTCAAGTGATTCACGCCGATTTTGCTTATATTTTGCCCATATGTAGGGGTCAGTATGCTAAGAAAAAGCCTAAGAGGATTTAGGCCCATGTTGCTTCTTTCGAGGGTTATGGCCATTTTA